GGCTTTAATATGAACTTAAGAAATATATATGAACATTTAAGACGAAGAAGGATTGACCCTTTCTGTTCTATTTTAACAAACATTCCTAAAGTAAAATCCAGTAAATATTTTTTAGCCGTAGTTTGTAATACTTAAATATACAGGCATATTTATTAGACCCGCGCTCCACTTGCAACGCCATCTACAGATACACGCTCGGCCGCGTTATAAACTACTATTGTGAAATGGAAATCGCGACTACTGCCTAGGTCTCCGCTCGACCACGTTTTGGGGCCCGCGGTGGCGGGCGAAGCCCTATACAATTTAGGTATACCTACGCGGGGTACACGCGGAGGCCTACGCACAATACTCTTGTCTACGTGGGGAATCCTACATACCTACATGAAGATACCCGTATGGGGGCCCTAGGGGGCAAAGCCCTAGGCGGGGGCCAAGCCCTAGGTGGGGTAAAGTCCTAGGTGGGGCAAAGCCCTAGGTGGGGGTCCTAGGAAGCACGCGCCTACGTGGGGGATCTTGCATAACTACGTGGTGATATCTGCATGGGGGCCTAGGGGGCAAAGTCCTAGGCGGGGCAAAGCCCTAGGTGGAGGTAAAGACCTAGATGACTACATTTTGAATTTCCCACCAAAAATGCTGCGCTCTGATTGGCTGGCGGGAAGGGGAGGGGGAAGGGAAAAGGAGGAGGAGTGGGGGTAAAATTCGTCAAAAATGACCAGGATGAACCTTCATAAGAAAATACATGGGATTTTGGCGTCGTACGCCCATAGCATATCTACTCGCTTCGTTTAGGATATACAGGATGTCAAATTTAAAAAAATTATTTACATTTTCTTTAATAACTCTCGACTACTTTGGTTAAATTCATGAAATTTTGTATGCGGAGGTTTCTTGGAACGGGAAATTCAAATTTTATGGACAATTGACTATATCTCCCAGAGGGCGCCACAAGCGACCATTAGGATCCTTTTAAATCGCTTCAACTTTTTTGTGCCACTGTGTATGTCATTTCGAAATAGAAAAACATTTTACCCTATCTTTTCTACTTAAGAAATGTACACCTTATTGAAGTCTCTAGGAGCAGCCGTTTCCGTTAAAAACTCATCTAAAGATGATGATGCATGCAAATTATGTATTAGTCAATCGAAAGTTATTGTTGTCAGGTTTTGTACATTTTGTTTAGATTTTATTTTTGCAATTCTCACAAAAATTTTGTGAATAGATTAACGCTAATCGTCAAGTAGTTCCAATGATGCTTTTTACTGACGAGGCTGATACATAATTAGCACTCTAATACGGAAACAGCTGCTCCTAGACTTCAATAAGGTGTACAATTCTTAAGTAGAAAAGATAGAGAAAAATGTATTTCTATTACGAAATGACATACACAGTGGCACAAAAAAGTTGAAGCGATTTAAAAGGATCCTAATTGTTGCTTGAAGCGCCCTCTGGACGATACAGCCAATCGTACATAAAATTTGAATTTCCCGTCCCAAGAAACCTCCGCGTACAAAATTTCATCAATTTAACTCAAAGTGGTAGAGTTATTAAAGAAAATGGAATTAATTTTTTTTAATTTGACATCCTGTATATGCTAAACGAATCATTTTTTGTTAAAAATGAACATAGAATAACATACTGAAGTATGTACATCTCCTTCTGAAACACCCTGTATTTCTTTTTAAACATCAGACTTATGTATTGTAATGTTTAAAACCCAAATCACTATCACTTTTATGAGACATTGCATCATGAGTGAGTTACCGGTATAATGTAACTAACTGGTTCTTAAATTTTTTGTAAAACTCAATGTAAAAATTGAATATTGTGATAAGATTTTCCAGATATATATCAATTTAATTCAAATGGCTTTTCAGTTTTTTTTGTGATTTAAAATTTGCTGTCAATTTGCTGTTCGGTTAAAAGGAAAACTTAAACAGCACCCTGTATGTATAATATTAAAATCAAGTATCCCAAAAGACCATCATCTTTAGTAAATATCTGATTGTTAGTTGTGAACAATTAATTCACTGAAATTACTTTGTTAATATGTGAATGCAATGCCCAATCAAATATTTTCTATTATATCTGAAATTATAATTTTTTCTTTGAACTCAATAAATAGGTTTTTCAAGCACAAAACAAAATATTTTCTTGAATGGCTTTATTGAACAGGACATTTTACTTTTTTTTTATCAAAATAAGAATACAATGAAATGATTTAAAACAAAAATAAAGCTTTGGTAAAAAAATGTACATTTTTTATAACTTTGACGGAACTAAATTATTAGTGGCAAATATATTCTTCGGATCCAGTTCTTGTTTTGTGGCAAGATATAGGTTTACACCTACATTAGATACAGTGCTGGGATACCATTTCCTTCTTAATTTGCCTACACCATGATGATGTGATATACTTCCACCACAAGCTATTATTTCATCCCTTGCTTTTGTTTCAATTTGATGATGTAGAGTTACAGGATCGCCAATATTTGAATGATTAAAGCCAAGATAGAAGTATATAACACATCCCGCATCATAAGTTTGTGTCACTCTAGAATTTATCATAAAGTGTGACACTCCAATCCTTTTACATTCCTCAGTTATAGTCTGTTTAACATTTTTCACAAGAGTTACTGCTCTGTCCCAAGGCACAGAAGTTTCAAATGATTCGGCAACTACATCATATTGTAGTGCAAGATCCTAAAATATAAAATTGTACTTAATTATACATCTCCTGGTGATTACACATTAGAATATTTCAGAGACTTATAATGTTGAATGTTGACACTTTATTCACTGTTTTAAGATAAAAATGTGAAAACCTACATTTCAATTTGAAAATACGTTTTTGAAAAATTTAATTTTTTTATTTTTTAATACCTATACTTGTGCTTTAATTTGTTTTGCATGTTTTCCCATTGCAGGTTGTAAAGACATTGATCTTTCCAGAAATAATCACAAAACACAGTGTCTATGGATGGAGTTGAAGGAAAAATTTTTATTTTTCATTTTTCATTTTATGAAAAATTCGGTGTTCAAATAAAAGCTACAGAGCCTTCAGAAATGATTCTAAACCATGTAACCAGTAATTTTGTTGGGCACAGTAATTTTATTTCCTTCATGTTGGCAATTAAATTTCGAATGTTATCTTAATGTTTTAAGATCAAGATACATTAAAACACAACATTCTGTTTCACCGGCTGTGATTGGTATTTTTCATGAGATTGTATATAACCAATCAGCAATTGCATTATCTTGAGCGCAGACGTAACAGCTTGTCATTGTTCATTATAAACGAATCATTAATATTGGTAACACCAAGATTTAGGGATTTTTCGTTACCAGCCTTGCAATGTTGGTTGCCTAAATTGGAGGTCTTGCGGCTTGTAAACATTTATGAAGGCTCTGTACATACATAAATTATTATAAATAGAAATGGCCACTTAAAACGACTCAACAAACAAACAAAAATTACTTCATTGATTTTGTTACTTATACACCCATTAATAAATAATAAACAAACATTTTTTTTAAATAATTCCTTGTACTAGTTACAAATCCCTTAATAGTTTAAGATGAATGCAATTAGGACCACAACCTACTTTTTAGGAAAAATTATCCTAAACTGAAAAACTATTATATCAACAGAGCAACTGTCCATGTTTACTGTTTGTCAACTCAAATTATAACAAAAACAACTGAAATGCTAAAGGCAGCAGTGTTAAAAACATTTAAAGCAATGTAACAAATAAAAGCAATAAAACAAGTAATATCCATAATAATTGAAATTATGTTAAATATAATTACAGATTTTTTTGGACTTACCCTAATATACGCAATAACAAAGGTAAGGGTATACCCCCGCTCACCATTTTTCTCTCCTGCTGGTACTCCTTTAAATTGTGATGCAATACTGTAAATTTGTCTTTCATTTATTTTCACCTCTTTTTCACCACCCTCAAAAAGTAAGGTCATAACACACATTTGATCAGGATCAAATCCTTTAATTTTTGTGATGTAAAACTTTTTAATACCATCTACAATAAGGCTAGAATAACTCTCCTCTGGCTTGAGAATTAATCCAAACTTGAACTGATCATTATCCATAAGTCTTACAGAGGCAGGTTGACACCTGTTCTTAGCAATTTCCCGCATGCATTTTACTCCCAGTTCAAAATTTGGAAAAACGATAGAACCATATTTTCTGCACTCTGGCAATGGTCGAATCTTTATTACGACTTCAGTAATAACACCCAGAGAACCTTCTGAACCCATTACAATATGATTGAAATCTGGACCACAACTTAGACGAGGAACTAGACAATTTTTTTCCAACACACCATTAGCTGTTACCATCTTAACATGAACCACTAAATCTTCTATATTACCATAAACATTTTTCTTCATACCTAATTATGGAGAAATATTGAAAGTTATTTTATAATGTATAAATTTTAGATTTATTTTAATAGAAAACCGAAGAGGATAAATATTTTAAACTTGAGCTATAGGGCACTTTTTGGCACCTAGATGGACAAAAATACAGCATTCAACTTAAATGTTTTTCTTATGTGCCATATTCCAGTTTAGTTCAATTTTTTTTTATAGAATGTCAAAGTTTAAAAACTATAAATAAAACGTAAGTCACTTTTTTACCAGAATACTTGGACATGTTGACATGTTAATTTTAACTTTATTTTTTAGAACATATGTACACAGTGTAACCCTTTTATGAGCTATGACAACCTGTCTAAACATTAACAGTGTCAACAAAAATGCTACTGAGTATAAAAATTTCTTTCGGGGTAAGTAGCAGGATACTCTGTTTTCGAAGCATCTACAGGGTGTCCGCAAATTTCACCAAGAATGTTTGACTGCATATTCACAACGATAAATAAATATACGATCTACGAAAAAAGTTAAGTAAAAACTTTTTGGTTTTTGAGTTACAGGCCTTCAAAGTTATCAAAAATAAAACTAATTTAATTAATAACTTCATAACCCTTTTACCGATCGCGTTAAAATTTGGCACACTTATTTGGACTATTGTGACACATTATTTCTTAAGGCTTTAGTCAAATTGATATACTGGGTGACAGCTTTCTCCGGTTACCTCTCCCTTTTAGAAGTCATAATAATGGTCGTACTTTTTTAAACGGGCAGCAACATTGAAAAGGTCGTTTTATTTAAAAAAAAATATTGACTCTTGAGAAAATCGCCTACAGGAAGCTATTCTTGAGCCATTATTTGTAGGACTGTGCGTTTTGGTTTGTGTAGCAGTGTCACGGATTTAAAATTTGGAGATCAGTAGACGATGAAAACAAGATGCTGATTGCTGTGGCTATCAGGTAATGTCATTATTGTCATGTTTCTCAAGGATTCTAATCATTCCACACATGCTAATTATGAAAATTTACAACTCCGTTCCTTGCAAAACAAATATCGTCGGTACAAAACAATTTTTGAAGCAAATTATTTTCTTCTGCGAAGTCATTCATCAACCAGCGGCAAAATTGTAAATGCGTGTTGGGATCTAAATTTTCAAGTTCTTGAGCAGGAGTTAAATGAAATGGCCGAAGAAGCTGCATTTTTAAAGTTTTGTGAACACTAGTTTTACATACATTTAGTTGTCTTGATACATTGCGGACACTTCATAATTTACATGTGTAGTGATGAGAATCCTAAAAAAAACACAACAATAATGACATTACCTCATAGCCACTGCAATCAACATCTTGTTTTCATCGCCTACTGATCTCAAAGTTTTAAATCCGTGACGCTGCTACGCAAACCGAAACACACAGGCCTGCAAATAATGCTATTTTTCTCAAGAATGGCTTTCTGTAGGCGATTTTCTCAAAACAATATTTTTTTTAAATAAAACAACTTTTTCAATGTAGCTGCCTATTTTAAAAACATACGACCGCTGTAAAAGTTTTGTATGCTAAAAGGGAAAGGTAACTGGAGAAAACAGTCACCCAGTATATTGATTTGACTAAAGCTTTAAGAAATAATACGCCATAATAGTCCAAATAAATGTGCCAAATTTTAACCCAATCGGTAAAAGGGTTATGAACTTATTAATTAAATTAGTTTTATTTTGGACAACTTTGAAGGCCTGTAATTCAAAAATCAAAAAGTTTTTTTTTTACTTTTTTTTCGTAGATTGTATTTATTTATCGTCGTGAATATGCAGTCAAACATTGTGGGTGAAATTTGCGGACACTCTGTATAAAGGTAAATAATTTGGAATTTTGCATATACGAAAGAATGAACCTCTATTATAATCATAATATGAAATGAAATGTTGTTTCTCCATTCACATAAGTGATTTACGAGTGTAAAAAAACTGTAGATTACAAGTTACATGAATAATTTTTTCTATTACCAATGTTATTATTTCATTTTGTGAAAAATAGTGTCGAAATTAATAACAAATTCTGATATTTATAAACGTCACAATTTTTCAAATATCAAACCAGAAAATTACCTAAAAACAATGCCAATATCGTGCCAAGTTAAGGTAATAAGAACAAGTGAAAACAGAAACAATTGTATCACTATTATTTTTAAGGTAATAGTAATTGATAAAACCAATTCGTGGACATATTGTAAGTAATAATATTAATGATTATAATAAATCTATGAATATTTCACATGAATAAGCAGAAGCATTCGAAGAAATGAAGAATGAATTTGGGACTCGTGGCAGAACTAGTTATTCTTGCTTATTTAGGCAGGAAAAATCCAAATGTTTAAAGTCAACTGTATGGACCAAATACTCAATAACTCAATACCAAGTCAATTGTAGCTATCAAGGAGATTATAGACAATATCTAATAATGGGTTGGAGAATAAGTAATGTACGTTTCTTTCAAATTTAAAAATTCTCATGAAAATTAAACGCATTGTTAAATTGACACGTCAGTCGAAGGAAGACATTGCTCTATCAGATTGTGCTTTTGGTTGTTTCCTTAAATTTCATTTTTGTGAATTTTGATTCATTTGATCAAGTTGATAAAACTGATCATTTTCGACTTCTTTTTGTTTTTAATTGAGATGTGAATTTCAAACAGTGCAAAGAATCGTTAAGCACCAAATAACTCCGCGAACAAGACCAGGACTTCATCCTCGAAAGACAATATTGTGTCTGGTAGCATTGGAAAGGGATTCTTTATTACGAACTTTTATTTAACGAACAAACTGTCAAAGCATGACTCTATGTCGAACAACTAATGCACCTCCATGTAGCTATTCAACAAGACCTGATCGATGATACGTTCTTATGCAACATAACAATACACGACCACATATCGGCAATATGACCAAGACGGTCATTCGGGAGTTGAATGAAGAAGTTCTGCCCCTCGCATTACTCTCCCGATCTCACACCCTCTGATTTTCACCTCTTCTACTCTTTGTCAAACTCCTTACATGGTGTTTCTCTCAATAACGACAATGAGTTAAGAGCTTGGTTGGATGAGTTTTTCAAATCAAAACTAGAGGATTTCTACAGAAGAGGCATCGAGAAACTTGTTGAACGTTGGGAGGAGGTCATAAATAACGATAAAGAATACATAACTGATTAGCCTATTGATAATTGCAGTTAAAAATAAAATATCTTAAATTTGAAAAAAAAAGGACATTACTTATTCCCCAGTCCAACATTTTTGTTCAGTACAAGTACTTGGAGGTAATATACATAAGCAAAATTTCTGAGTCTATCAAACATATTTAAAGTCTCGGGTTTCAAATGGTCTTCAAAATTCACTTTTGATTGAATCAGGACCTGACATTTTAGGACTTAAATGTCATGGAGACTGACATTATTCTCCAATTGTATGAATAAGTCATTGTCACTGTTTGCTTTTAATAATTATAGAGCCTTCATAAATGAATACAAGCCACGTTACCGCCGAGCTTAGGCAACCAACATTGCACGACCAATACTATCAACTAAAAATTTCTAAATCTTAGCGTGAAGTGAACATGAATAATGACAAACCGTTGCGTCTACACTCGAAATAATACAATCACTGGTTGATTGAATAAAATTTCATGAAAAATTACACCAATCAGCTGTCAGTGATACAGAACATTGTTTTTTACTGAAATTTAATTGCCAATGTGAAGAGAATAAAATTATTGTTCCAAACAAAATTCCTGGTCACATGGATTGTAATCATTTATGAAGGCTCTGTATAATTATTTAATATAAAACAAATTGTACTGTGTAAAAAACTGCCCTACCTGACAATGACATAACACTTAAAAATATTAAAAAATTACATGTTTTTGGCATTGGCAGTAGAAAATAGTATATTTTGCAAAAAGAGATAAAAATGTAATTTATTTTCGCGAGTGAAGAATTGTCGAACAGGTTCACAGATCAATAAAAAATATTTTATATTAAATTCAATTTTTTTCTACTCATATAATTTAATACTCAATTTAATTCAAAATAGACTGTTGAGCTGATTATATAAGAACAAATAAATATTCTTAATACATGCACGTACATTCATCCATGCAAGTAATATTGCGCTAGAATTGTTCACACCTGCATTATTTTTAGTTTTGCCAATGTTCATGTGTGATGATCTAGGAGCCTCTGCAATGAATGTGTTTTTTTTATAATTAAAGTCGAAGAATCAATGAAAATGGAATCTCGTAGATAGCTTTTAAAACATTTTAAATTTTAATTTTTCAAGATTTAGTCTTCTAGTGTATTAGGACTGTGAATTAATTTTGAGAGATTTACAATAGATGACATAACATGCGGATTATGCCATATTACATCGGACACTTCTGTACTTTTTATTATGTGTCATTTTGCTGAATTGTAAACAACATAATTTTTCACAGCTCCGATGTTGTCGAATTACGAACCAACAAAACACCATTTCCAGGAAGTTTTATTTTCCTGTTTAATTCAAAGAAAAGTGCTGCTGAAAGTCAAGTGCTGTTGGAAACTTACTGTAAACACACTTTATCGATAAAAACATATGAGTATAGGTTTCGGCACTTTAAAAGTGATGATTTTGATTTCGATGCAGTTGACAAATAATGCCCTGGTCAACTGAAAAAGTTCGAAGATGAGGAATTAGAAGCATGACTCGACCAAAATTCATGTCAAACAAAAGATGAACTTGCTGAATCGTTGAATGTTGATCGTACAACAGTTTCCAAACGTTTAAATGCACTCAGTATGATTCAAAATCAAGGAAATTGAGTGGCATACGAATTGAAGCCGAGAGATGTTGAACGAAGATTCTTCACGTGAACAAATGCTGCAATGGCAAAAGACAAAGGGTTTTTTGCAACGTACTGTCACTGGCGATGAAAAATAAATACGCTATGGTAATCCTAAGTGTAGAAAATCGTGGGGTTTGCCTGGACATGCATCAACATCGACAGGAAGGCCGAATATTCATAGTTCGAAGCTCATGCTCTGTATTTGGTAGGACTAGCTTGGTGTTGTATACTATGAGTTGCTTCAACCGAATGAAACCATCACTGATGAAAGCTACTCAACACAATTGATACATTTGAGCCGTGCATTGAAGCATAAACTGTCGTAATTCAAACAAAGGCACTATAAAGTAATTTTTCAACATTACAACGCTCATGAAGTTAAAATGATATGTTGCTTATGAAGTCAAAACATACTTAGAAACGCTGAAATGGAATGTTTTACAACACCTGCCATATTCACCAGATATTGCTCCATCGGACTTGTTCCGATCCATGGAACACAGCCTGGCTAATCAGTGTTTCCAATTTTACGAAGATATGAAAAATTGGATTGATTGATACACAAATTTTCACAATAGCCTTGCATTTACAAAAAAATCCCCAAGAATTCATTCAGTCCCAGTAACATATAGGATATAAAAGTCCCCTCAACAGTGAGACTTACACTTTCGTACATTATACAGTGAAAATCGGTTTCAACTATCTTCAAGGGACCGTTTGTTCACGGTTGTTATAACTGATAGACGTAATAAGCAATTACATATATTTTATTTAAAATTTTTATAGAAGAAATGAGAAAGTTACAATACAAGTCTTTAAGTATGTACATATATATTTTTGTGTCGAGAAGATTTCGCATGCTTCATTTTCAGTGAATTGTTTTTGAATAGAGACTTTATTTTACTTCTATCTTTCCAAATTGTTGAAATCGTAGTGTGATATGCCACATTCTTTTGCTATGCTTGCATTAGTTTTTCTGTTTCCTAGTCTCCATGTTATATATGATTTTTCTTCTTCATTAAACACTTTTCTCTTTGACATCCTGATAGAAAGTGGCAATTAATACAAATAATATAACTGTATGTGTAGATAAATCATAATTTGTCCCAAACGTACTAACTGCTGTAAAAAGCGTGAATGCCAGGGGGCGGGCGGAAGAACGATGCATTGGTTGTTATAACCGATATATTCTATGGTAAATGTATATAAAAACGCGTCATATTAAACGATATTTTTAATATGACATTTCTGCAGGATTTAATGGGACTTCCAAATTCCGTCCTTATATCCAATATGTCATATAACGCAATGCTGCTATAACCAATTTTCACTGTAATTATCTCTGGAAAAAACTGATACATCAACTCAATGTGCTATTGTGTGTAGATTCATCTACATAATGTTATTGTGCATCCACACTAGCGTTATTGTTTGCGCACTGATGAATGTACATGCCTATACTAAGACATGTATGTTAGTGTGTAGCCAGCTTTACACAACAAATTATTATTTTTGCCACAGCAACAATCAAAGTAAATTAATTAAATAAGGAGCTTTATGTTTTAATTAAGAAAATAATAAATTTGTAATTGTTTTTTCTTAATTTTCATCTTACGTGAAAAAAATGCCATTTTCATATTGACTAAGCCATGAAAAAAATATTTTTATATAAATGATCAATTGTAAATATAAATGTTTTACTTGTATCTAACAGAATTAATAATAATAAACTACTGGAAAAAATTAAGGGAACGAAGAAAATTTAATAAATTTGTTAAGAGATTTTTAAATGGCTATATCTCAGTGAAAAATAATCGAGATGGTTATCTTGTCGAGATATAAAAAGATTATTGAAACCTCAGGTCTCTAATTTCAAGATCTATTGACAAAAAAATTTTTTTGAACTGCTGTTATCGAGCGATCAAAAGGAATACCTAGAGAAAAAAGTTTTTCATTTTTTTTTTGTTTTAGGACTATCCGAGGACTCTGGAAAATTTTTTCAAACTCTATCAATGCAGAGGTCAGTTAGCTTATCTATTCAACTTCAATTTGCTTATGACTATTGACTGCAGAGATATCAATGGTTGATTAAAAAATTACACTTTTGTCTTTAATTTGTCTTTAGTCATTGATATCTCAGAAACAAATTATTACTATTTCACAAAGTCTACTGCTAATTTACAAATATTGATGAAAAGATTAACGTTGAAAGAAATTTTTATAGCTCAACGTAACCTAACCTAACCACAGTAACCCTGTATATTGAAAAGTTGATCCATCCAACCGTTTTTCTGTTCCAAATGGTCAAAGTTTTGGAAAGAATTAAAAAAACCCGTTTATAGCTTCTAAAGCTCCTAATCATCCTATCATTTAAATTAAAAAAAAAAATTTCAAAAAACTCGAACTTCAGAAAACAATTTCTAGTCGTTTCTGATACAATTTGTCCTTTGCATACCATAATTATAGTAATCTTTATTTAATTACATTGAATGCAAAGTTGATACTCAAGCTGAATTTCGTCCTCGATTCTTAAGAATGATTTTCGTTATTTTCTTCAATCTACTTACGTTTGAATAAACAGTTTTTTCAAACTGCTCTATTTTGGCAAAAAAAATGTAATCAAAAGTTTCATTTGCAACTTATGCTTGTCCTACTTTGCTTTGATTATGCTGCTATATGTACCTGATGCTCTAGTAGCTACCCAACCACCAAGGCTAGAAAATTCATAGCTATCCGGTTCATGTCCAGATGTAAAACCCAATTTTCCAAGTTCCCTTTCTAAATCCTGTCCTATAATACCACTTTCACAACATACTATTAAATTTGCTTTATCCAACCACAATATTCTATTCATTTGTGATGTATCCAGTGATATAATGGACCGTTGCTCATTATTAGGACATTCGACTGCACCAGAGACGGCTGTTCCACCACCAAAAGGAATAATAACTATATTATGCTCATTCGCTAGATTTACTATTTTGACAACATCGTTGTGACATTTTGGCCATAACACTATATCGGGTATTCTTTCAAAAACTGAATTTCTTAAAGTAAACATGTCATGTAAGGTTTGTCCATGTGCTCTTAAGACTCTGTCCATAACTTTTGTTGAATAAGAAATGTTTAAATCAATTATGTTTTTTAAGTTTTCTGGTGTAATGTTTGGTTTTGGATATTTGCTCTCTTCCAGAACAGCCAGTGTCTTAGGTGGTTTTGTGATATCTATATTTAAGGTATCAATCACCCATTCTTTTACATGTGGCAAACGAAGTTCGCCTATGGGATATCTAAAACAAAATTAATTCATAGTGTAACTAGTTGCAATTCATAAAATTTATAAAGTTTCAAATTTTTATGTTACAATACCCTATTTTACGATAACGTATCAATAAAGACAACTTCAATTGAAGTAAATTTATATCTCAAAATTAATATTTTTTCGTTCTCACAACTGATGTTTATGTCTAAATGTGACAATATTGTTTTTTTTGTCTGCTTCCTTAGCTAGAGATATTTTCTAATATTCTTTTACTATTACTTATCTCATTCAAGTTTACGGAATATGGCTGGTAGCAATTTAAAATATCTTTTAGTTTTTACATAAATGCCACTGGGAACGTTAAGTAGTATATCAAACTTTGGTAAAAAATATTTTGATCTTTCTACCCAAAACCGATATAGGCATTGTTACTTTTGTAACGCCTCAAGTCAAAATATTTGCTATTTTTGTTTTTATGTTATATACAGTGTGGTCCACTAAGAATCTAACTCTAATTTTTTTTTAACCACCGCATCAAATTATATATATATAATAATTTTGATGAGAATCAGTTTAGTATTTTTTTTTATTCAAATTATAATACAGAATAATTTTTTTATAGACAAATTTAAAATCAGTTAATTACCATAATATGCAATTCTAATCAAATAATTTTAAAAACAACTACAGAAAACAAGAAGCCTGAATACAATGCTTTATTTTAATAAAAACAGAATCTTCATAGAGCATTCTTTATTCATCAGTGAATATATGTTTCCTAAGTTTTACTAATATTAAAATATTAATGATTGTTAACTTCAGAATGCTATAAATTTTCCTTATATTCCGTCATAGTAACATCAAAAATCGCAAATATGGTGGATCGTTTCAAAAATTGATAGGGTGTTTTATATTAAAACGCCAGAAAACAAAAAATATATATACAGGGTGTCCCGGTACTTTATACAAAAAAGTCAAATACAAATAGATGAGGTTAATATAATATCAGTTCTTCATATATATTTTTTTCATACGGGCCTTCGTTAACTAGTTACGGGCTCTCAAAGGTGAAAATTAAAGTTATTTTTATTTACAGTCTCTAAACCATTAACTTCAGCATGATGCAAATTTGGTGATCGATAACACATGCATACAGCTTGTTTTTGATGTTGTAAATGAAACTTCATTATGCCCAGAACGCCTAGACGGTCTATGCCCAATGGTTAACAAAAGAAAGAAAAGAAACTATTAAAATATATTTTTCGTGTATAAACAAATAACATTCGTACACTTACGAAGTGTATGGAAGTGGAAAGTGCCCATATTGAAAATGTTTTTTGTTAGTTTTCTTTCTTTTAAATTATTTTTTTAACTTTAACTTATTCTTCTTTTGTTTTTCTATTTTGCGTTGTGTAAAGTGTGTTTGTCAAATTTTGCTAATGAAAATTACATTAGCGGACAGTAAGATTTTCTCGGCTCTTATTATAAAAATATGTCTGCTTCCAACATAGTAATTAAGTGCAATTAAAAATTAAAAACAAAAAATGGTGGAGGCGCCGCTCGATGTGCACTGACATAAAATCACAAATATTTCCTAAACTGTTAATATTACCATGTTGAACCAAGAGGGTATTATCGTTGGCAAATTCTTCAGGGAACTTATTTTTGATACAAGTATATTGAGATCGTCATCTATACAAAAATTCTGGGTTGTTAACCATTGGGCATAGACCATCTAGGCGTTCTGGGCATAATGAAGTTTCATTTACAACATCAAAAACAAGCTGTATACATGTGTTATCGATCACCAAATTTGCATCATGCTGAAGTTAATGGTTTAGATACTGTAAATAAAAATAACTTTTTAATTTTCAGCTCTGAGAGCCCATAACTTGTTAATGAAGGCACATATGAAAAAAATTTATATGAAGAACGGATACTATTTTGACTTCATCTATTTGTAGTCGACTTTTTTGTATTAAGTACCGGGACACCCTGTATAATATATATACAGGATGTTCCACCAGGAACTGCGTCGATCGATATCTAGGAAGGCATATCTATTGCTCCGATATATTTGAAAATTTGGCAACATGGCAATGTCCCTAGGGCGAACACAACTAAAATATCTAAAACTCTCCAGCACTTTCGGTTATCCCGGAAGTTGACACCAACTTCGTTATTTTAAATGGGACACCCTATATATTATTGCATTTTCGGATTCCACGTGAAATTTGAGGGTCATTTTATTAAATATTCTCTGTACCAAGGAGTTACAGAATTTGAGATATTAATATTTAAAGAAAAAATTTTACAGATGCAAAGGCTCTGCGGAGATGCTAGTAACTCTTTTCAGGAACATGATATCAAGTGGATTTTTGGTACCTGCAAAGGGTATAAGTAACACTAAATTACGGTATACCAACAAATTAAAACATTTAATACTAGGTTAATTTTAAATTAATTAATTAATTTTAAACACGTATTCGGAAAAAAGCAGCAAATTCTCCACATGTTCTTGAAATTACTTTGGCACATTGTCTATAAATAACAAACAAATTAAAATAATTCTCATTAGTATAATTTAAACAATCCCAGGCATTTTTATTTAAATTTTCTGCAAAAACTATTCAGACACAACAATAATTTGACAACTAACTTGACAAATGTCAGTTATTTTAATTAATTGTTCTTGGAGTATTTCTGGTCTTGGCCACTTTGACAACAAGTCTGATATGAGAAAAAGTGTCCAAAAAATAGAAAATTGCAAATATCTCTAAAAGTAGGAACGGCAACCCTAACAATACTTATATGGCCTGAAAGGAAATTTCAATCTGCATACGAGAGAATACAAGGTGTTCCATTTAATTTAACAAAGTTATAGCCGTTTGAGGTTATGAAAATGTAATAGCAAAAATGAAACCTAGTATTAAATGTTTTAATTTGTTGGTATACCATAATTTAGTATTACCTATGTCCCTTACGGTTACCAAAAATCCATGATATCATGCTCCTGAAAAGAGTTACTAGCATCTCTGCAGACCCTTTGAATCTGTTAAATTTTTTCTTTAAAAAGTATTAATACCTCAAATACTATAATTTCTAGGTATAGGGAATATTTAATAAAGTGACCCTCAAATTTCACGTAAAATCCGAAAATACAATAATATATACAGTGTTCCATTTAAAATAACGAAGTTGGTGTTGACTTCCGGAATAACCTGAAGTGCTGGAGAGTTCTAGATATTTCACCCCAGGTACATTGCCATGTTGCCAAATTTTCAATTTTTTCAGAGGTGTAGGTACTTTCCTAGATATCGATCGACGCAGTTCCCGGTGGGACACCCTGTACATATACATATATAATTATTTTCACAAATAAAATTTGTGATGTTTAAAAAAATTCTCCCCTTCGAGCGGGAAACCATGGACACACTGAATATGGTATATGCATCATTAGCATTAAAAAAAAAACTTAATTCTTAGAAATTCATACTTATGAAGTTCCTTAACTATATTGTTATCTTATTATACTTTTTGAATCTAGACAAATCGAAAATTAAAAATAAATCTTACTGACTGAAAAGAAAGCTTTTTTGTTTCTTTACAATCAATGTAATAAAGTTACTTGCCCGTTGTTTTTGTGGAAAGTGAAATATTTATATTTTCAAAAATTTTTGTTCTGTGATATATTTTCAAAATATCTACATCTTTTATTATTTTTAAGTTCCACTGTTTAATCTTTAATCTATTTTTTTAACTATCTACTTGATTAAAAATCAATCTATTAAAATCAGTAGTTATTATCTTGACTTTAATTGACACAAATCAATTCAACCCTGTTTCCCTATTGTTCTTTATTACATTTTTTTATAAAAAAAAAGAACATAGTAGTATTTGTTTCCCTTTAATAAATTAGCTTACCTTTTACCTGAAAAATAAACATAGCCATCTTTATAAATAAACATTGAATCATTATAACCCCATCCATTCCATTTCAATAACTCTTGCCTAAAACACAAAATTAAATCAAACACAAAATTCAGAGAATGTAGTTTTGAAAACGTTTAAACTAACTTGAAATAAATTTCATATATCAAACACAAAATTGTTTAAAAAAATTAATGAACTTCTTTATCAGTAGTGCAATTATCGTCTTCGATGATTTTTTTTAAATAGCACCCCTAGTTCTTTTTTTTGACGGAGATACAACACTGTCAAATTTCAAATATTTATCTTTTTCCATGAAAAATGCAATGTGTGTTATTTAATTTACTTAATTGGTTTCATATTGGTATATTTAGAGAAAAAATTCTAGTAAACAACTTGTGTAAAAATTAAAAAGACAAAGCCCGGAAATGTGAAAGTGTGGAAGAAACGAATAACGCATGAATATAGACTAATTTCACCGAAAATTGGTAATAAAAGTGCCCAAAATGAGTTTCAATTTCTTTTGAGGTACTTGTCAAAGTAGGTAATGAAGAGCAGTGGCAATTAAGATATAACATAGGTACTGTGGTATACAGATGAAAACTAATAAGTTCCCTGCTGGACAGGGCTAGAGTCCACAGAGTAGTTGTTTCCCACAAAATCAGTAGTTAAAAATGTTGTATTTGATATACTGAATTTATTCCAAACTAGTCACTTTTTATACAAGATTATTCACACAATATTCTACCTGCTTTTTTCTTTTTGCTTTAGAATTAGAATAAAATGGTACACACCAAAGTTTCAGGAAATTGTCTTAGGATTTTAAAGTATACTTAACAAAACTGTCGGGTTTTAGAGAGAACTGTTACGTGTTATACACAAAATTGTCATCAATTTATTGGTGACAAGAAATGTATGAAGAAATTATAATTAGAGTGCCTCTACTTTTTCAACAATTTTTTAGTGAATTCTGGTTATATTTTGATTTAAAGATATATGTAATGCTAACAGTGTGATAAAAATATTTAAATATGATTTAAATTAGTCTTTACCCTCTTGGAATTACTTAATTGAATTTAAGCTTTTTGATCTATGCTGTAACCGAGATTTTAGCCACAAATGCCTTTTACAGATCAGGCTCTGATAAGTAGCCGCTATAATACAATATAAAACAACACAGGTTTTAGGTTTGATTCCTTATCATTTTCCATCCCAATCTTGTCATATAAAAATTAAGATAAAGTAGTATAGTAAATAACCTGCATTCAGAAAATCACATTGATGAAAATTCGATAAGTAATCGTGTTCTGAAAACACCTGCCAATAACAATAAGTAATCGAAGGATGAGTAATCGAATGCTACTTTTTCCATTGTTTTCTATAATCAATTAGTAAGCTTGAATATGTGATTACCTGCATTGAACTAGAGCAACGTTCAATAGTGAAATTTGCAAGTATCATCATCTGTTTGTTGTGTTAATCTTGTTACTGAGGTCTAGTTTAAATCACAAAATATTCATGTTTAAATAGATAATGCTATACAAATGAGTTTCCAAGATATTTGCAATTTAAATATTCATGACTTTGTCATAGTGATAATTTCAATACAATTCAAAGCAGTAACATTTTTAATAAAAAATGTATGATGCGAAAGTGTATGTGCAACATTATATTAGGATCAAATGCAACAGACCAAGCAGCATACATTAAATATTGGACATTACTGTTTATTACTAAATAAAATCTTTTCTCAATACAATCAATAAGATACAAACTATAAGAATTTAGTGTCATTACTACTCCTTTATGTCTCATAGATTCTTTGACACTGTAGATATGATCCCTAATTTTTTAATTAATATATTTTTTTTTATCAAGCTCAACACATGTCAACATAATATTTTGAAAGTGTTTGTACGTCAATTTGGCATGTCAACAGTATTGTGCGGGTATTGAGTAAAAATCACACCCATTATATTAGCTAATCATATTAATTTATTTATTTTTTTTTCTTTAATAAAACATTTGTGTGGCTTTTTTCTGTCTTTTATTCAAATAATACTGAAATATTTCCATATTTTAACTTGCATTTTGCTAGTACGTAAATTTTACGTGTCAACAGTATTATGCGGTACAAAATAGCTAGGGTTAAACACTTGAAACGTAAAGAAAAAATTGCAAGTATCAAAATGAATTTTTCATAAGCGTTTAAAAAAAATCTCACCGTAGATAATATTTAATGAGAAATATAAAATTTTTACATAGGCAAATGAAAATGAAATTATATTTTGGGCAAAACAAAAAAAAAACAGTTAAATTTTGCCATCATTTTAACTGGAAAACTTTGGATTTTGTGATCATACTTCAGACTTGAAATTTCAAATAAAATTAGGATTTGGTTTCACTAAAAATTTTACTTATGGATAGAAGGTTTGCAAAATTCCCTTTACAATTATTCATAACAGTCAAAAAAAATTTAATTTTTGTTTTTTTATATCAATTATAAAATTATTAAAATTATATTAAAGTATTCATCTTCTTTATTTTTTTTTCTTGAATATTTCTTTAGAGACAACCCTATAATCTGAAATAAAAAAGTTGGATGACACAGCTAATAGCATAACATTAATATCTATCGCTGTCGATGTTTTAACAGTTTGAAAATGATAATTTAATTTTTTTTTAGCTAACATCATTAAATTAATATCTATCACTGTCACTGTTTTAACAAGTTTTAAAGTGATAATTTTAAATTTTGTTAGCAAGTCCTTAATAATGAATAAAAATTTGTATCTAATAATCTTTAGCAATTATTGTTATCTTAATAATAAAAATAAGCAGAAATAAGTAAAAACCTATTGTATACATTTATTGTATTTTTTGAATGAAGGAAAAAAATAATTTTCTGCATTTATAAAATATTGGAAGCTTATTACTCATATAAGTACCTATTTTCCAAGAAACAAATACCTACTGATGTAGGTAGGTACGTATCAATAAAGTATTAAGGATTAAAATGATTAAATATTTATCTAACCTAGTTAAATAAGTTCAGTGAAAATCGATCAGACATCTTAATAAAATATAAAAATCAATTGAAATAAGTATACATCTAAATAACGTTTGACTAAATTCGTAACTAAAAAGTCTCACCGGTTTTTTGGTATTGCACTTTCAACAACGATGGGTCCATGTTTTTCAGGGTTATGTATTGACATCTTAAAACAGTTTTTTTTACTGACGGATACTGCGTTGAAATAAATTTAGTAGTAATTGTAATAATGGCATGCTTTATGCATATTTGACTAGAAAAGCAAAAACTTGCGTTGCCGGCTTACGCCTAACCCAAAAACTTTACCGACATATGAACACACACAGCAACCGCTCAAAAAGGAGTGGCAACTGGCAAGACTGGCACAGTATCATTTATCTAGGGACTGGCAAGACAGACAGGAAATATACGATAAAACGATAATAAACAGAGACAAATTCTTTCTGTTGTCTCTGATGATAAAGCTCAGCTCACCATCGACATCGACACCAATACCACAGCTTATTAAGCTGTGCCAATACTACTCTCCTCTAATATACAGTATACACAGATTCTGGACCCTGTGCCTATTTTATCGGTTCTACTATTCTCCATGGGTTTTACGCTGGACCAAACTCGTGAAAATTTTAAATTAAATTCAATAATAAATAAATGAGGGCGTGTTCGAAAAAACGCTGGGACATTGGTATTTTTAGTTGCGTATTTTTTTCAACAAAAACTTTTTATACAGGATGTCATGTAACAGTGGTCAATACTAACTTTCTTATTTTAAATGCAACACCCTGCATATTATTAAATTTTTTGGATTTGGATTCTTCAGAAAATTCTAGACATATTACACCAGCAAAATAAACACCTGTTTATTTTATTTTTTTGAAATTATATATAAATATATATTTTATACAAATATATATTTGTATCATCTTTTCACTTATTGTATACTCGATGATCAATACCTGGATGTTCCGGTTGTCTCTGTTATCCAGATCTTCGAATTTCACCGTGTTTTGTTGTGGAGTCGGCCCATGATGATCGCCCAACCACAAAGTCCGCACGCGAGAACCGATTTTATAGAAAATCGATTAACTTTTAGATTTGTTTCGAGACAGACTTACAAATCTGTGGATTTTGTGATCGTTCATCAGTGCTCGCCAGGTGACGCAAGTGACGCACCGCTTCACCTAAAATTTCCGTTTGGTTGTGAAATTTAAAATTATTTTTAATTTTATATAAATTTTATAATTTAGGTATAATTCTATATTAAAAATGTATTGTTTTATATGCAGAAATAAACTATATAGTTGCGCGGAGATCTTAGATCTTATTAAGTACACCATGAATGGCTCGTTCATGTCTATACTCGGCGGCCGAAATTATAAAGAGTGACTAATACATAATATAAAAACACTATTACCATAATGCGTATAAAATATAAAATGATTTCTATACGGTTCAATATTATTTATCTTTGTGCCGCTCGCCATGCACATCGGTAGAATCTATAATTGTGTATAGACTGAGTTACACTGAACGTCGATCTATATTTTATCTCTGTCTTTTGCACTTGGTAGGGAATAGGGAAATGCTTTTTTAGTGGGTGTAAACGGACTTGATTTGCCCGACCTGAGAAACGTCATAGCATAAGCGTAGACGAGGGGTCTAATTCCATGGCTATAATAAATTTATAAATTAAAAAAACACAACTGGGACGTTTTAAAATGCTGTAATAATTAAAATTGATCAAAGTGCCGGTTATAGCAAACCGTAAAAAATATTAGATGTTATGTTTTATTATGTTTTTTCAATATTTTCTATATCTTGTTGCCTTTTACACAGACAAGCCAATTGATTTTCGTTCCCGGCACGCTTCATCCCCCTTACTAGTCCAAGAGCTAGCGATGAATCACTATCTATAATTTTGGCCGTCGAGTATAGTCTACTTACTTGTACCTTACATACATCATTCCATATAAGTTAATGTAGGTACATGAATTTTTCACGCTCTAAAATGTTTAAATATTTTGTTCGAATATTTACACTTTAAATTGCGTTTTTAAAACTTGGAATAATATAATACAAAGCGTAATAAGTATACAGGGATGGAAAATCCACATGGTCCATCTGCCTTTACATGAGAGCGACAAAGTAAAGTAAAGAAATCCGTGCGATAGACAAGGATGGCTATAGTGAAGACGTTTCATAATCTGAATAGTCACCGCCCGTTTCGGGTTAGAAGTGGGAGTGACAATTCAGATTATGAAACGTCTTCAATGTAACCATCCTTGTCTATCGCACGGATTTCTATGACTTACTTTATCGCTCTCACAGAACGGCTGATGTACCATGAGGACTTTCCGAACCTGTATATCTAAAGGGAAACTAAATAAAATTATTTTTAAGATTACGTAGGTATACGCCATAAATGTGTTAATGTGTGTGATGTTGTGTTATGTGCTAGTAGGCAGGTATATATTTTCTATTTTTGTATTTATAACGAAGTTATTTTTGCTTTCTCTTATTACATCATTTTTTTATTATATTCTTTTCCCATTCTGTAACTAAGTTTGGGTGTTGGATGGGGTGTAGAGATAAGAAATGAAATAAAGTAAAATACAGACATTTAATAAATGTTTCTCATTCATATGATTGTCAGTATTGAAAAGAGATCATGTTTTAGAAAAAATTATATCATTTAAATTCTGTTATGAAATTTAATTGCTCTGATTTGAACTATACTAATAAACAGACCTATTAAGTATGTCTGTACCTCAGAGCTAAACTGTATTAAGTGCCAAAAATGAAATTTTACAGGAGAGCGATTTAAAGATTTAAATTTTGCTTTTCATTCCATAACTTCGAACTCTTACTTCTTGATAAAAAAAATTAATATGATGTGAAGTTATACGTCTATTTTAATATTATTTATTGTAATTTAAAGAATAATTTTCTATTCGTATTTTTTTTTTCGAAAAAATGGAGTTAACACTATTTGGCACAAACATGATTTAGGGATTTTATATTATAATATTTACTAATTGTGCGATAATTAGTTTTTTTTATTGAAATAGTACAAACGACAAAACAACAAATAGATTACATTCAATAAATATGTTTAAAAATATAAACATCAGATAATATTCATAAAAAAAATAAAGTTTAAATAAACCAACAACACTTTTGATTATTAATAAACTGGATAGAAAAAACAAAAACAAATGTAATTATTATCCTTTCCTGTTGGGCTCGGACTAAATCATAGAAAATATAGTACGTATGTCGTGGAGCATGATCGTTTGTATCGGCCATATTGACATGGGCCCTCGGTGGAGACATCGGAAGTTCGAATCGAGCCCCACGTTGGGCGCCATGTCGTGGAGCATGATCGTTTGTATCGGCCATATTGACATGGGCCCTCGGTGGAGACATCGGAAGTTCGAATCGAGCTCCACGTTGGGCGCCATGTCGAGGATTATGATCTGTAGTGCCTAATATGTGAGAATTGTGCGGGGAAGTATGATCTGAATGTTGTGTTTGGTCGGCATGGGTCCTCAGTGGAGGCATCGGGAGTTCTAATCGAGCTCCACGTTGGAAACCATGTCGCAACCTGTGATCTGGGATGTTAGTTCCCTTGACCGGGTTCCGCGGCAGGAACGCACGGAGTTCACGGGGATCGTCGCTATCGACGCCCGGTCGCACTATATTCTCTGACGATTGGAATCTGTGGTGGATATGACCTACAGACGTGGTGTCTAGGACACGAGCTCGCGGGGGAGATCTCGACGAAGAAGGTCGAGCTCCGCGTTGAGCGTCGTGTCGGGTTAGACTTTCTTGATATGGACCACTTAGGCGATGATCGTATGTTCGGGGGAAATCATGAGAATGGACGGGCGACGTACAAGTATTGTTTTGATAAAAAAGGCCGGCTTCGTCACCTATGACGTAGTCGGCTAAGGGGTTTTCGCTTACTATGGCACCCGAACGCGATGCGCATTGCTCCCGCTGGATACCACTTCGTAAAAAAGCTGAATGAACTGTAGCGTCGTCACCGACGGCTAGCTCACGTTCCGAATCACCCGACATCGGAAGTATTCCACTACCGGGGCCAGATCGTGAACCGTGGTTGGACTCATGGGATTCCCCGGACCCTACCAGTTGGTACGTAGGTTGAACCTCGTCCCGAGTATCTGTGGGTGACCCACTTCGTGGTAACTCTTGGTTGCTACTCGGATCCGCGAGTGCGTCGTGAGGGGTGGTCGAGATGGTGCCAGTAACTCGCGTAGCAGCGGACCTCAACGCGTACGGCGCTGTGGCTGCGCCGTGCCGCGTACTTCCGCGAGCCACCATCTTCGGTCCCTCAGACTCTTCGCGGAGCATCGATATAGCGTTGGCAGGAGAGGCCATTTCCTCTTTCACCCCGAATGTCGAGAGATCTTTCGCCGGCAAACAGGTGTGAGGGCAGTTCGTGTGACCGCTGGTCTCTCCGATTTGGGACGAGGTCTCGTCCAGCTCAGTCTTGATCATACTCACACGATCTAATTTATTATTCGTAGTATTACCTTCGAGGGCACCAATCCTCGTAGCACTGGATTTCGTAGTCGCGTCGCAGGGGTTCATCTTCCCGGTACGACAATGTCGGAGCAAGCTCTTTTGCTCCGAAAGTCTTGTAGACGTCTTGTAGTAAGCACTGACTCTACTATTAAATGTGGGTCTCTCGAGGGAGCCCTAGAAGTAAGGATAACTTCTTTACTAAATTTGGAAGTACGCCGCCACAATAACGTGCGTACTATTGCTTTGTGCCCGTGGGTCACAAAGTAAATGCCTCGTAGGGGTTTGACGAGGAAGGTTGCCTCGACGAGTGACCGCCTAGAAGTTTGACGAGGAAGATTGCCTCGGATTTGCAGATCTCAATGGAGTCTGAATTGTAGGTCTCGTAGGAGCCTATGTGTGTACTTTGTACCGAGGTGCGGGTCTCTCGATGGAGCCGGCACAGTCGGAATCAAAGTCTTCGTCGGAGGGTCGCAAGCCTCGGACGGTATGCAGGTCTCTGGAGGAGCCTGAAAGTATCGCTGTTTCGTCGCAGGGGGCGATCGAACAGGATCTTCGCCTCAGGTTGGGCTACCTCGGGCGGGACGCAGGTCTCTGGAGGAGCCTGGAGTATCGCTGTGTCGATGCGAATGGCTATCGCACAGGATCTTCGTCGGAGGTGGTCAGTCTCGGACGGTTTCGCAGGTCGCAAGTGGATCCTGGAGTTTACCGCTGTTTCGATGCAGGGGGCTATCGAACAGGGTCTTCACCTCAGGCTAGGCTACCTCGGGTGGTTGTCTCGTTAAGCGAGTAGTGGTTGCAAAGCACTATCAATATCACGTCGAGGAATGGCAGCCTCGACGGAAGCCTCGTGAAGCGAGCCTGTGAGCTTGAGCTCCAAAGTTCTTGAGCTTGATGACAGGGTTTTTTCAATCAAACCGTGGAAG